TGTCTCCACCAATCACGCTATCAGTTAGGCTTGCATTCAAAACCTGCGTGAAAAACGTCCGTCTTCAGTATTTGGATGATGGATTCTATAGATCTGCATTTCCATTACTTCTTTTAAGATGAGAGCATTCAATGACAATGTCTTTATCATCGTAAGGGTCACTATGAGTACTTATTTGCGTCTTGATTTTGGAATGGCATCTTTTAAGGTTCAAACAACGCTTAGGCCACGCCCAAACTGATCGGCTCGAGGGGTTTTATTCAGTTTTTTCGAAGAGCGTCTCCGCCCCTTTCATATGAGAGTTCCCCCGGGCAGAAGTATATTTGAATGAGTTTATAAACGTACCTATGATGATTCTGTGGAAGTAAATTTGGCTTTCCCCCCTGTTTTTAACATTGTACAGTTGGCAGTTATAAAATGGCTTTAAACTAATCCTTACTAAGGTATTTCTAACCTCGGATTTGACTGTTATTTGGCCATTCTTAACATACGGCTGGAAATAGACTTTCTGATGCTGTTCAGAACATCATCTAACTATCTGCTTATCGCTTGTGCTGACAGTTTTCTCGGAGCCACTCANTGTAACTGCTAATTTTGCTATCACTCATGTTGTTCAGGATAGGGTGCCAGTGTCTCCACCAATCACGCTATCAGTTAGGCTTGCATTCAAAACCTGCGTGAAAAACGTCCGTCTTCAGTACTTGGATGATGGATTCTATAGATCTGCATTTCCATTACTTCTTTTAAGGTGAGAGCATTCAATGACAATGTCTTTATCATCGTAAGGGTCACTATGAGTACTTATTTGCGTCTTGATTTTGGAATGGCATCTAACGCTTAGGCCACGCCCAAACTGATCGGCTCGAGGGGTTTTATTTAGTTTTTTCGAAGAGCGTCTCCGTCCCTTTCATATGAGAGTTCGCCCGGGCAGAAATATATTTGAATGAGTTTATAAACGTACCTATGATGATTCTGGGGAAGTAAAGTTGGCTTTCCCCCGTGTTTTTAACATTGTACAGTTGGCAGGTATAAAATGGCTTTAAACTAATCCTTACTAAGGTATTTCTAACCTCGGATTTCACTGTTATTTGGCCATTCTTAACATACGGCTGGAAATAGACTTTTTGATGCTGTTCAGAACATCATCTAACTATCTGCTTATCGCTTGTGCTGACACTTTTCTCGGAGCCACTCATAAATTTCCCAAATACAATGAAAACTCGCGATTATACATACCTTGATTTTATCGTAACGTAAATCCAATACAAAGGGACGAAAAAGTATGCTTTATCCAAAACCCAACTTTCACATCCCTGGTAAATACGGTAAAGAA